AAACTGAAGTTATGCATCACTTAAGCTAAAGTTAGGTTAATTTAAGTTTATAGCGGTGCCGGTGGTGTAGTGGTAGGCGTGATTACCTCTCACCCCAGCAGGCCTGGATTCAATCCAAGTCGGCGCCGCCGGGATGTTCTGAGGCATAACATCTCTGATCACGCCTACCTTCGGATGGGAAGTAAAGCCGTTGGTCCCCGGTTCATGAGTTGATGGGTCGATAGATAGGGTCTAGGTGTTAAATTTATAAAGTGAAGTTAAAGTTGTGTTAAATATTGGTTAATGTTATGTTTAATTTTAGTTAATCTGCAGTGAAAGTAATGTAATAGTTATTTCCAGAGAACTTTAGGGAAGCTTCTTGAATGTTTTTGTAACTTTTTGAAACTATTTTAAAGTTCGTGCAACTTCATGGAACTCCTTGAAAATAAAATGAAATTTAACTAAAATTTAAGATTAACGTTATGTTAAGTTAAAGTTAAGTTTATTTGTTAAAGTTTAGTAAAAAAACGTTAAAATTTAGTTAAAGATAACATCAAGTAAATGTTAAATTGAGTCGAAGTATAGTTAAAATTTTGTTAAGGTTTCGTTTCAGTTACGTTAATGTTTATTCAAGTTAAGTTAAAGGTATGTTAAAGTTAGGTAAAAATCATGTTAAAGTTGAGAAAACGTAAGTTTAAGTTAAGTTAATTTGAAGTTAAAATAATTAGTAATGCTTTAGATAAAATTATGTAAAAATAAAGTTGCAGTTATGTGAGAGTTAAGTTAAAGATATAATCAAGTTAAGATAAAATTTAGTCAAAGTTTGGTGAAGGTTTAGTTAAAGTTATGCTAATTTTAATTCAAAGTTAACTTTAATAAATAAGTTGAACTTTAGTTAAACTAAATAAAAATTAAAAAAAAATAATTAAAAAAAAATTAAAAAAATTAATTTAAAGTTAAAAAATTAAAAACTTAATTTAAAATTAATTTAAAGTTTTGTGAAAGATAAATTCAATTAAATTAAAATGAAATTAAAGTTAAGTTTAAAATTACTTAATGTTAAGTGAAGGTTTAAGTTCAAGATAAGTTAACTTTAAATTAAAGATATGTTTAGATAAAATTAAGTTAAGGGTACCTTAAGGTTAAGTTACATATGTTGGAGCTATGTAAAAGTTGGTTGGTTGGTTGTCTTTATTAAGGAGATTTTCAGCCGGCTAGCATCTTTAAAATTTGAATTAAAGTTAATTAAAATTTTGGTTAAAATTTAGAAATTTCTGTAAAACTTAAAATAAAGTTAAGTTAAAACGGTTATAAAGTAAGGTGTGACTTAAGTTCAAGTTAAGTCAAATTGAAGTTAATGTTACATTAAGCTAAAGTTAAGGTATAGTTAAAATTATTTCCAGAGAACTTATAGGAAATTTCCATGGACCTTCAGGGAAACTTCCAGAGAACTTCAATGAACTTCTTGGCAGTTTTTGAAACTTCTTGGAACTTCACTTGAAAGTTCTTGTTAAGTGAAGATAAAGTCAAAGTAAAGTTAAATTCAAGTTAATGTTAAGTTAATGTGAGTTTAAGTTAAGGTAAAGGAAAGTTAATTATTTAAAGTTTAGTCAAATTGAAGTTGAAGTTTGGTCATATAAAATCAAGATGAGTTATAATTTAGCCAAAATTAAGTTAATGATATATTAAGGCTTAGTAAATGTTAGTTTAAGGTTTAGCTAAAGTTCATTAAAAGTTTTTTTTTAATTAGTTCGTTTATTTATTAGGCTCCGTCGTGTGTGACACTTTGCGGAGCCAAAAATCAGTAATTTTGAATTCACACTTTAAACAGCAGTAGTTCTAGGTTAGTTTTGGGTACCAATTACTCGTGGCGGGCTCGAGGTTAATGGGTAACAATTTCGATTGCAAGGAGCTAGGTAGGAAACTGGTTTCTGAAGCCTCCTTCAGATACCACTCTTGAACGGTTGACCAAATCCTGGCTGGACAGGGGCTAGTAGCACAGAAACAGGAGGATAACAAGACTGGGACACAATGGCTGGAAATTGTTTGGAAAGGGATGGTCACATCAAACTCTAACATCCGACAAACAACAGCCGGCGGCGGTGGTGTAGTGGTAAGCGTGACTGCTTTCTAACACCCCAATGGGTCTGGGTTTAATCCCAGCCGAGGTCGGTGGGTTTTTTTCTGAGGCATAAAAATCTCTGGTCACGTCTTCCTTCGGAAGGGAAGTAAAGCCGTTGGTCCCGGCTCATGTGTGTTGAATGGGTGCGACTTCCTACGCAGGTGTGGAAGCTGCCTTCCGGCACATTCGATTGCCGTCAATGGATGGCAATCGATGTCCGTCGGTGATTGGCACTAGATTGCGGAACAGAGATCGACGTTAAATAAAGGAAAAAAGAATCAGACAAACAAAGGAATTCGTGGATCGCCTGCATGTATGGAAGATCATGGATTCCCAAAATATCTTTTACTTCACAGAAGGGTTGTCTACCTCGGGCCACTTGGGTATCCAACAGTCGTGTTAAATTAAAGATATATTATTTTACTTAGCTAAAGCTTTGTAAAATAAAGTTAAAGTTGAGTTAAAGATAAAATCAAGTTACATTAAAGTTAAGTGAAGGATTCGTTAAATTTAAGTTAAAGTTAAGTTAAAGATTAAATCAAGCTAAGATAAATTTTTAAACAAATTTTAGTAAAAGTTTACTTGAGGTTTAGTTAAAGTAAATGGATCTGCGCAACTGTTTTATACTTTCGCATTTAACGTGTATGGCACATAGATCTCATCAGAACCAGGACGAGTGTCAAAAGAAGTATTGAACAAAGTAACAATCAATGCCAATGAACAGTTATAGCGAGAGTTTCCAGGTACCCCATATTATTAATGTACGCTTTTATCTACTGACTACAATTACTTTTTCCAGTAGCGATAAATTTGTGAAATAGTTGGTCAGTTCTATCGGACAGAAAACTTTATTTTTGGCTTCATAAGAGAGAGATTAACAGCTCTTGGCTGGATCATCTTTAAAACAGAAAAGTGATCAGGAATGGTAATTAAATCCTTATGACTGAGAATACCATCAAAAGCTGTAAAACTTTATGTATCCATAATTGTCTTATGCAGTATCATTCAGTTCCTGTGGCCTGGTGTAGTGACGCGAGCGGGGGGGGGGGGGGGCATAACAAGAAATGATTCGACAAAATTCACCCATTCGACCAATCATCTTCAAACTTTCAGGGAAAACAATAAAACATTTAATTTTTAACATTAAAGATTTAACCTTTTCCATGTTCCATTTATTCAATTTCATTACCATATCCAAATGCACGTACCTTTCTCTTTACACTACTCATAAGACCTTGTACAGCGTTTGGACCAACGTTTTTGTGTGGTAATCCAATTATTCGTCATATATTTCTCGGTTTTCCCTTACTAAGAATGTTTCCGCTTCATGATGGCCCAGTACTTTTGAATTGGCCGCAGCCCTGGTGAGCTCTGGGATTGAGTTGCTTCGACACGAAATTTACCTCCCTAGCCTTATACCATACCAGAACATCTTTCGAGCAATGACACGAGGCTAAATCCGGCCAGAAAAGCGTAGGACCATTTTGTGACCTCAGAAGTGGAAGTAACGCTTTTGAAGGCATTACTTTAGGTATACCTGCACATTGACCGTCCCGATTGTCAGGAATGGAGTGCTTCGCTTTCCACACAAATCATGTAATTTTTGACAAACTGAATACGAGCAGTGAAGAACAGGAGCCCTGAAGCTGCCGGATGTTTGATTTTACATACGTCTCGTCATCCATAACGCGACTATGTGGTTTTGTCAACATCTGGGTGTAGACCTTCCGTGCACGTGATTTTCCCGCAGTATTTTGACGTTCTTTGCGATTCGGCACCTTTTGAACTTTGTACGCGTGTAGTCCTTCACATTTTTCGCATCTTGCACGAAATTTTTTCGCCACATTTCTAATTGAACTGTTTGGATTCCTCTTGTAAGCTTGAACTATCCGCTAGGGATCCTTTGCACTATACGCATGGCCATATGTTCGTTGTACCAATTTAAAACATGAGTTACCGTAGATTGTGCCATTCCCAGTTTTCTGCTGATGGTCGATGAGAGAGATAAAGATTTTCGAGGTACGTGCGAAAATTTTTTTTTTGCACCGCTGCTATACTTCCGATTTTATCTTCGCAACGATTACACAGCTACTATTTAGTGCAACTTACACAGTGTAAACATTAAACTAATTTCACCCCAAATTTCAGTATAAAATACCCAATGGGTAAAAAGATACAGCCATTTGAAAATGATGCAAATTTGATTTCGCACATTCTTCCATCCGCTCTTCTGATTAGTTCTTGAAATGTTTCTATTTTCTTCGTTAAATTTCTTAATTGTTTAACTATTGCACTACTGGCACTATACACTAAAAAATTGCTGAATAAATTTTGCGTAGAATGACATATTTCATGACATATTTCTCATTCATGGATTAAAGAAATATGCGTTTTAAAACCTCCCCTTTTCTGTTACATGCATAATATTCAATTTCGTAATGTGGCCCCAGTAAATTAAAGAAATGCGTAGTTCTACATTAAACATATGTTGACATCACTAAGAGAAACAGCTAGGTATGTGAAAGATGTCCAATATTACATATTCACCCAAATCTAAGAAGTATTTAATTTCAATTGTGTGAAATTTTGTAAAACTAGAGGACACTAGTTTTTTTCAAAAGCCCCTATCATAACATAACTAATGGATTGGAAAACAATATACATTTAACGGTTTTAGTGACGGTATAATTTCAGCTGGTTCTATTGTTCTGACATGCACTGTAGTAAATATCATGTCATAAACTAAAGAATGGATTTCAATGGAAACCGGTTTCAAATCATCAATCGACAGTCTTACTTCAAAAGCTTGTAAAAAGGATTACTTCAATCAAAAGCATCGTCTCTGCAATCTACTAAGCTAATTAAATACATTTCTTTCTTTGTCTTTTTCTTGTTTCAGCTCGTGGCCGGGCAAAGTACGAGGTAACGGTACGCTTGGCAAATTCGTCGCACTTTGAAACGAACGAGAACGGAGAACGGCAACTGAATGAAAACAGTATCACTCTGTTGGAGCAGCATGTAAGTAATTGATTGCCAACGATGATTGGTTGAGTGAAGGTGAAGTCTTGGAAATGAAGGATTCGTTTTATCATATTTGTGGAAAGACATTTATGTATCCAGTAAATACGAGAGCAGAAAGCTCACAATTCATCAGAAATAACATACAACTCTGTTGAGATGATTATACCATGCACCAGCTATTGAACTAATCGTATTTTACAAAGCTAGATTGAAGATTTATATTTGAATCTGTATTGCACAGAATTTATGCTACGAATCCATGCAGCTCTACAAAATATTCTGTGTCAAATTGCTTCTTTCCTCGTCTTCCCGTCCGTCCGTTGTCAAAGACTGACTCAACCTATGCGGTGCATTAGCAATCGAGTTCAGTACCCTGCGTACGTTGCTGTTCCGGTCACCCCAGGAATTGGTCCTATGGCCACTTCCTCCCGATTCGCGAATAGTTGGCATCGGTCCAACGGAGCCAGTGTTCGATCTTTGAGCATCTTTCTTCCGGATGGAACTCGGTAGACGGAACGATCTGGACATGGGTCTCAGACGTTGCATCATGGAACCGCGATTTCCCGTGCCCGATCGCTGACGATTGGAAGAATCCTGAGACTCCAGCAGGGATGTAACCAGTTTTTCCAGCAATTTCAAGTCCGCCGTATTTTTCGAATTCCGGATACTGCTGCGACTTGGTGGTAGACCACTGCTGCCGTTGGAGGATCCAGCGCCGGACAGTCCGAAAAGACGTTCTGCAATCTGAAATGAAGATGGAACCGGGGTCAATGTTATCGAGGCATGTTGAAATCGCACACACAAGCAAGAAACTCAAAAATGTTAACTTAGTTAAGGGAGTGCCTTAAAATGGCAAGCTACATCGTTTTCCGACAAGGAAGCTTTCCCCCCGGACGAACATCATAAATCACACAACAGCAACCATCTCCTGGCAGCTAATAGTGGAAAAGAAAGCAACTTTTCCCTCTGCTTCATTCTATTCGCCCCAACTATACCCCATCTCCAGGCACACACACACACACACATTTGGCACGCGGACCGACTTCCAATAATGTTTCTCCATAAGGAGCACTTTACCAGTAAATGGCTTTTTTCCATGGCTCCGTTATTCTAAGCTTGCAACAACGGACGGGCCACGTCGGAATGTCAGAAAAAGACACATCGATCGGAGTCGGTCCGGCAATGAACGGCGGAGCGCAAGTTTGATTGGCAATTTTTAAAAATAAATTACTCTCTGGAGTTTTCCGGTAGGCGGAAATCAAGAGCACCCGGAGGGATACTGGTTTTTGTTGTAATGGAAGGAGAAGTTTGTTATTGGCTCAACTGGGGTACGCTTCCGAGGGCCAATCAAACTGTCATTAAGCATTAAATCAAAATTTTAAAGCGTGACATGGATTCGAGAGGCATATGAAATATGTTCAAATTGTTAAAACATATAATATAATTACATGAGCTTGAGACCCACAAATAAGGAATGTATCTGTTGTAAGGCCAAAATGACGATAAATATTTAAAAAATGGCAGCAATACGCTAAAAAACGTCCTCCATACTGCATGATTGCCTAAATTCCAAAACCCAAACACACCAAAATAGCAACAACAAAACCAAACGACAAAATTTCACTAAAATGCCAAATCAGTCCAAAGTCTGCCATTAATCAAAATAGTATTAATACTAAATAGAGCAGCCAAAAACAAAGAAATGATAAAACAACGACTCCGAGCCAATTTGTTAATCCAAGGCCCTAAAAACGCTAAGAATTGCCTAAAAACTTTAAAACATCACAACCTAAAAAATGGCATCAAAACTAGCCCAATAATTATCGAAATTGTTAAAATAGCCCAATTCTGCTTTCAGAATGCCAACATTATGTTGATATCACTAAAACGACAACTGGTATAAACATATTGTTAACTAAAAATCTCACTATTGTGCTTGAAATGCCAAAAAATGGCCCACGGAAGTCAAAATTAATTGTCCAAACTGACTTTATAAATTCAAGACAATCCTGAAATCAAGACAATCCTGATAGAACAGTTTTGAAAACGCTTACAATTAATCTTAAAAATGCCCAGATAATCAATTAATCACAAAAAAAGGCATTGAAAATCTCTAAACGATTTTAAAACAGGTTGTTATTGAAATTTAATTTGGCGGTCTGATTCAGTTATATCTTGAGATCATGACCATCTAGAAAGTTGCTGCCTTCAAGAAAGTTCTTCGGAATGTCAGTAAAGGTATTTCCCAAAACAGAGACCACTTGTAAGAGGCCAGAAATAGATGTCCAAGATGTCGACTACTGGTTTTCAGAAAAGATGTCATAGGCATGGCTATGTTCAGAATGAAAAGACGACTAGAGGCCCACAAAAAGTCTGACGGTAGCTTAGAATCTCTTCTGGGTTTCGGAAAAATGGGCTTAGAAATACTGTCTGATACCGTAAGTTTGGGCCTAGGGGGTGACATTATCATTACCTTCGAACAGGTTGCACAATATCGTAGGTGATACGAATTTAAAACTATTAAGAACAAGACGGATATCTATTGCTGCACAGGTTTTTTTTTAATAGTTACTTTATTTGTACAGGCTCAATCGAATAAACTTCACAGAGCCGAGTTATCATTTTCGTTATATTGCACAGATAGTATGTAGGAAATAATTACTATCTCCCAGATCTAGACATATCCCTCTCCAACTGTTAAGGATTGTCCTGGCTACGTCCTTGCCACTGGTAGGGATAGGAAAGATATGTTAGTCCAATATTTCCTTAAAAGAGATGCAGAGAACTCTACGACCCCTCATACATGTCTCGGAAATTTAGAAATTATGTTAGTAGGGAAGGTAAGCCATATGTGTTGCTGGCAAATGCAGATTTTTTTTAAATGGTAAAATTGCTGTCCAGAGCGTCTACTGAAAGATAAGGTTGCTGAAATAAAATGAAGATATAACACGGTGAATTCACTATCGTTGTCAGACCCGTAGCTGATTGAAAGAAAGGAATTATTTTGTGTTTTATCATTTTTTTCTACTGACTACCTCTTTTCTCGTAGACACAAAACCTCTATGTCTTTTCTACTTGAATAATATTCCATAACAAATTTCAACTATAAATCATTATTCAAATGGAAGCAATAAAGTTCCCAGATTCAAAATGATAAATCAGTGGCACCGGTGATGTAGAGACAAGCGTGATTACCTCTCACCCCAGCAGACCTGGGTTCCAAATTTCTTCTTTCGAGTTCCATTTGACGTTATTTGTGAATGTGATCGACTACTTTGATCAAAATTGCACCAGTTGTTGTTCTCTCTAGAAGTATAAACAAACCACTGTCAAAGATTTTCGATTCCCAATACTAGAGGTGTGCTAGCGAGGCCCGAGGGGTGTACCAATTTACTTTTAGTCAGCCTTTATCACAATGGGCGTTTTGATGCGAGATATAGTGGTGCAAGTACCAAATTTCATTTTTTCGTTACGAGACCAGCCCACGACTGAAAGTCTTGGTAATATGGAAAATTGCTTAGCTAACGTACTAATTTTTCGTTATTATTCTCATAAATCCTTCCAATCTTATGTCGTTAATGCCAAAAAATCAAAAATGCCCGCTTTAATGCTATATACACGGTTGAGGACATAGCTTGATTGAAATCGAGAAAGACAGATTAAAAAAATTCCCATTAAAGCACGTGTGTCATCTTCGGCGTTACTTCGTGATGCAGCTTGCCAACAATTTGGTCGCTTCCTTCTACCGCACAGTGGGCAAAAATTGACAAAACCACGACTAAATTGAAGGTCTCGGCTGCCAAACTGTTTCAGCCCGCATGTTATACATATTATTAAAGGAAAAACTCTGCTGTATCGATTGGTAGTGGTTTCAGTAGTACCGAGGTAGAGGGCCAGGATCAACCCGAGTTCCCGGTAAGTTCATGTAAAGACACCATATTCGCCCTCAGGGAAACTCTACTGGTCTAAAGGAGGATCTGGATTGACCGATAAAGTGTCCACATTATAAAAATTGTCCTAGAACTTTGCAATTTTTCCTATGTTTGTTCAGAATCATGAGATCAAAGCGAATTTAATAAAGAAATTAAATTTTGGGGTAAAGTGGCCATATCCTGATCCTCCGGATAATCTGGACTGACCGATAAAGTAGCCACATTATAAAAAATGTTCTAGAACTGTTGTTTGTTCAGAATCACGAGATGAAAGCGTATTCTATATGGAATTTATAGTTTGGGATCAAATGACCATATCCTGGTCCTCCAAATAATCTGGGTAGACCGATAAAGAAGGTAGTATAATCTAAACTGTTCAGCATTTGTCTACCACACAAGTTGGGAAAAAAAACTACAAGGGACAGCCCTGTGGGGTTGTACGCAATGGTGACGTAGGACTACTTGGTCTTATATAATAAATATTATTTGTTAGCTGCAGCAGGAGCTTGTGTTTTGTGTAGGGACAGGAATTTGAGTGGGGTTCTCTCTGTTTATACTCTTTAATATGACGCGCTTGACATAGATGGCCCACAGCAACTCACGAAGAGCTACTGATTCCTATCAATAGCGGTGCGGCTTCTTCTTCCTTCTATGGATGCTCATGTGGGATGCAGCTCACTACTTGCAGGCATCCTTTCGTTGTGTACTGGAGAACACCACCACTCACCGCACGGTGATTGAATAAACACCGTTTGGTGAGACCGGTTGGAATTCAACTTTGAAATCCGTGTTAGAGAAATCGCTTTTCGCAGGCAATCGGTTATAATTTAAAGTATCATAGCAACAGTTGCACTTTCATGTAATTTTCAATAGTGACATTTTGAAAAATGATAAGGTCTTTAATTTAACAGATGCGTAGAAAAAATTTCTATCGATTTGCATATTAAGAATTAAAATCCATCAGACTATTTTTATGCCGCGACCGACTTTGGTTGTTGAAATCGCACCCCCTATGTGGCCTTGTAGTACATGGTATGTTAGATTTGAACATATCTAGATAGAGCTGGAATTAGGCGTAACAGCTTTTGTAAACAATGACTGCTCTCGATGATGTTTAGGAATTCAAGTCAAGCCTACGCAAACTAATATTACCGTAGGGTAGGCGAAGTCTTACCCTACCTGATGGTGATGTTGATTTGCGCCTTGACTTTCAAGACATCATCGAAAGAAGTCATTGTTTAAAAAAACTGCTACACCCTAATTCCAGCTGTTCACGACAGTCCTCACCTTGCAAGCATACACCTTGCACCGTCGATCCGTAACGTTAGGCATTGGATACGGATAACGGATAGCTTTGACGTTGATGTAAACCTTCAATCCGGACAAAGAGCACAAGCGGACAATGACTGTTTACAAGTGAACAAAGACACAAAGTAGACGAATTAAAATGTGCGTTCACAAAACTTTATCCTTAATTGTACTATTAAAATTCTAGTTTACTAAGTTAAAGTTACTTATATTAATTGAATTGGAGGTAAACTTATATTATATTTGATTAATTAAACTTATAATCTAATGTACAAAACGATAAAATTTAGACACCAACAGCAAACACAAACAATCAGCTACGACGTAAGTTTCCTGCAAATTATTATTATACTCTAGCTAATAAAAATCACAATTTGTAGCTTAAAGCTTACTCTACGGAAAAACCAGAGTTTGCTATAAAGAGGTCCGAAAACCAAGTGGAATTCACACCAGTGCCAACACCAGCTGTATCTTGATAGGGAAGCTGACATCGGATTGATGACC